TATCTGAATATCGAATTCTTAGAAAAAGAATGTAAAACTCACACAAACACACATGCATACATAAAATTATGTGAATATACTGAAGTGAAATCAGAGTGGATACCTGAACTGCTACTGAAAACACTGTCTCCGGGGTTCGAACATAGGACACCGCAATTAAGTATAAGTATAAAACCATCAAGTGACATCACTAGACAAGCCGTCGAGTGGAACCCGAAAGGGAAGCGGCGAGTTGGTCATCCAAAGGTGACTTGGAGGAGGTCATGTGAGGAGGAAATGAAAGCATGTGGGCAGACTTGGAGCGGAGTGAAAAAGTTGGCAGAAAACAGAAGGCAATGGAGACGCGTAGCTGAACTCCTATGTTCCTCTAGGAACTATAGGATATAATAATAATAATAAAAATTGGACACTGTGGTGGTAGAGTATAACTCCATTATGGATAAGATTTTATTTCGATAAACTGTCACACACAGTGCAATGTAGTGTTTGTTATGCAGTAATATTAACTGATCCGACCACACGCCATTTCGAGCACAATTTATGTTATTCCCACTCATAATCATCACATCAAGTCACCCACTCGCTCACTCACACAACTTTCTTGTTTCCTTCATTTATATTCATGTGTGGAAGTGATGATTAGATATTGGAATAAAAATCAATATGGGATCATGTACATTCAGAAATAATAATAATATGAGTGTTGCAAAGCTTCTTCTATCTGTTTTATTTCATCATTTAGGTGGTTTATTTTTGTGCTACTTAGTGCTACTGCTCGGTTTGTTAGACACTTATCTTAACTAAGCCTGCCTTAACAGTTAACGGATGAGATGAATTGAAGTCTAAGTATCTATTAGCAGAATGAGTTTGTTTTTTATAAACACTAGTGTGTAGTTTACCTTCTTCTATTCGTTTCATTCTACAATCTAACATAACAGCTAATTCTCCTTGTTCATTTTCCGATTGAAATGTGAATTTTGTTCCCTCTACTAGTGAGTTTATATATATGTGTGTGAGTGTGTCAAGCAGCTAGAGGTATGTTCTGTTTTTAACGCTGTGTGTGAAAGTGTCATCCACATATCTCCACCATATTTTCGGAGTAGGATTAGGTGAATGTATTAAGAGCACTATTTTCCCAGCTGTTCATAAAGATATCTGCTACGATGGGGGATATTGGTGATCCATTCCATGGCTACACCTTGGAATTTAAAGATAGTAGATGTGAGGCATAACTGAATTCCTAAATGAATTTTTATCGCTCAAATCACCTTTTTCTTTTGTGACCGTTTAATCAGTCTGTACATCCTGTCCATGATGTACAAAAGATAAATCTATATATATGCTAATCTGCGAAACTTCGTTCATATCTGAACATCGACTCCTTAGATGAAGAATACAAAATTCATACACACATCAATATTAGTTTGTTTATTAGATGCATCACACAGTCAGTGAAAGAGTGTTAGCATTAACTGGATGACACAGTTTCAAATACAATTCATTATTGCTGTACATAATCATATCACCAATTATAATCACACGACTTCGAAACTTGACTTTTATAGCTTTCTTTGTCCTCTCCTATTTGTCGTCGTAGACGTGATAGTAGAATCATTCAGATATCTGGGTGGAGAGGTATTGAATCATTTCTATTACGCGTATTCTCTCTTAGTTGATTCGATAAACAAAGCTTCCTTGGCTAACAATCTCTCCCTCCCCGCACCCAGCTGTTACATTATATTTTAAAACTGTCCTCACATCCCATCCAGCCTATTGTATGGTTGTGTGTAACTGCATGTAGTGAGTGGTACAGCTGAACTGTTCTGCAGATACCTTGTCCTATTCGGATCAACGAATCGTGATTTCGTTAGGTTTTTGTGGTCCGATAGTCTCTCTAACTGACCCAGTTCTGCCAGTTTGACTTATGTATTTGACCTCACAATCATTGCAAATAGGGTATTAGATAAAATTGTTTTGTTTTAAAGGCTTCACAGGATTGATCCTTTAACCGACAAAGCTTGTTTCTAATTGAGTTTGTGGTTGGTTTGAATTCCAGCCACTTTTATTCCTGCCTGCCTTGTTAAGAATTCTGCGTAAGATGGTTTCCGAGTTCCTTTCCTTGTATGAAATTAGTGCTGATGATTTTGATTCCTTATTTTTGGTGCTGTCTTGAGCATGTTCAACATGCGTGTTGTGATTATTATTATTATTGTCATGATTACAATCAGTACTATCATTATATATTTTTACATTTCCCTATATATTTTCTAATTAATTTATCCGGGTAATTATTAAGTTACAAGGCTTCTCTTATATGTCTCATTTCCTGTCTTAGATTTTCCTAGGTACTACTTAATTTTTGTGCTCTGTCACTTAAACATTTCACCAATCCTATTTTTACTGACATAGAATAGGAAGTCAACACATTCAGAACAAGGGACCTAATTATGTTGGTTACTGTCAGTCAGTGGTTGGCGAGCCTTTCTCATATACTGAAGGCCGTGAGTTTGATCCCTGAAGAAGTTAGGGCTACTTACTAGTGCATAGTCCCAAAGTAGGCCAAAACCGCGGTCTTCAAGATCTTGTTCTACTTTATTTCCCCGAAAGTGATCCAAGGACCATACTGTAGACATGAAAAGGTGGACATCAACCTAATTTAAAAGTGAATCTAATTCTGGAAAAAACCAGAGGATACATCTGTCGTGAAGAGAATAAAGTCAACGTAGAAATTTGAGCCTGAAGCAGTACAAAAAAAACCACAAGGTTATTTCGAGCCATATCACCAATAGAAAAATGGAACAACAACTACTACAGAAAGGATTAAACTACAACACTAGAGACGCTTCAAAAACTGATTTCTTCGCTGTCCTTGAATCATTACTCAAATCATCAAACTTGAAGGAGGAAACACAGGAAGAGATACCCCAAACAATCGTACCAATGGTCAAACAGAAAAACAACACACAAAACTCAAGTATCAAGAACTAAAGGCCCTCAAAAAGCTGAAAAATAGGAACGATATCGTTATTCTACCAGCTGACAAAGGAACAACAACAGTATTCATGGACAGAGAAGAATACATCAAGAAAGCTGAAGAGCTACTCAAAGATGAGGATGTATGTCAACAACTCCCATCAAATCATATACAAACATTGGACAACCGCATCCAAAGGACCTTAAACAAGCTCACCAAAACTGTACAGATCACAAAACAAGACCAATGGCGAATAAAATCCAATGGACCAGTCCTACCCCGATTCTACGGCAGACCCAAAATACACAAGGCAAATATCCCATTACGACCAATTGTATCACTCCCAGGAACTCCAACATATAATTTATCCAAAGAATTATACAGAAAACTCAAACACCCAACAGAATCTTGTGATCACTCCAACAACTCTACCATCCAATATCTAGAGAAAATCAGAAGCATCCAAATAGTTGAATAAGAAATAATGACATCACAGCATTATATACCTCAATCGGACTAAAACTAACAAAAGACACCATGAAGCAACTACTAAGCAACGACAAACACCTTCCACAACAATCGAGAATGCAACACACAAGCTGGAATGGAATGTATAAGCCTATGCCTAACAACGTACTTCCAATTCATTGGCCAAATATATGAACAAGTCAAAGGAACACCCATGGGGTGGATGGATCGCCAATATCAGGTTTGATTGCAGAAGCATTGCAGTGATGCAAAGACTCGAAAATATAACCCTACCAAAGATCAAACTCAAGATTTGGATACGTTACGTCGACAACACATTTGTAATAATCAAAAAACGAGTTCGATAAAACTCACAACTTAATAAACAACGTCTTCAACAACATCAAATTCACAAGCGAGGATGAATCCGAGAACCAAATCCCATTTTCGGACGTCTTAGTCACGCAAACAACCACAGGGGAATTAGAAACTCAAATTTATAGAAAATCAACTCACACAGACCAAATCCTGAATTACAACAGCAATAATCCAATAACACACAAAAGGAATTGCATACAAACACTATTCAAGAGGGCCAACCAGTCAGGACTCATTACAGAACTCCCACCTTAAGGAAAATTGAATAATAATATCTCGTGGACATCTTCCAGAAGAATGGATATCTACGGAACTTCATCAAAAGACACATACCCTCAAACCAACCTACCAAGTCAAAGGCCCCCAAGGAAAGCACAAAGAAAATCGCCCTACCATTTATATATACAAGACATCTCAGAAATCACTGCAACACTATTCAAACCTTTAGGAATTAACGTCGCACACGAACGAACAAAATCAATTCACTCAGCTGGCTTTATTTCAGCCAAAAGACAGACTCAAAAACGAAAGAAGATAAAACCAACATCATCTACAAAATAAATCGCAACAACTGAGAAAAACACTACATTGGCCAAAATGGACGTCCCTCCCCTTTGTCTTTGTATTCACGAACATAAGCTAGTCGTTAAAAGACATGACATCCACTCCCTCACTCATATCGCCTCACTGCATACAGACAACCTCAGACATCAATTCGACTGGGACAACCAACCAACCTTCAAATATTAGGCAGACAGACAGAGGAAACAATCCCAAGAATGCTAGAGAATTTCTAGAAGCCTACCTGGTAGGTATTCCAGTGAATCATCAACTAATAGACACAACGAGATAGACAAAATCTACCAACCCATAAGAAAGAGACCTCACACACACACACACACAAACACACACAAAGGGGGAAAGTTCAAGTCAAAGAAACAATCAGTTCCAATATCGATACAAGTGGCCGCCTAGAAGGTGTGAAAACACACAAAAATAACCAGTCACGTCCAAGGTGGTCACCGACCAGGAGAGATGATTAATAAACTCGTGGAGAAATCTACAAGCTCACTTGAATTCAGATTGAAGTGTATACGCTGAATATATTGTCTAGTGGGGCAATAAAAGCTTCAGAGAACACAACCACATCAGAATTCTCAATCAAAATTAGATGACTTACACAACAGTGGTGACTTTTCAACTCAGGAACACTCCTGGATAACGATATCTGAGGAAGTAGACTTGTAACCGATAGCTGATTGCATTGATTCATTTGTTGTAATGAGTAGTTGTCATTGCCAACAGTCGTAGTAGTATGGTTGCCTTCCAACTCTGTACAACTCCTTTCATAGGAGTAGACTGACCGTGGAGCGGATGACGACCGGGTATTATCCGCCTTGTTATTATTATTATTAAAATTTGTCCGGCTAGTGTCACGTTTAGCTTTATCCCGTGAGAAAGAACGTTTACGTAGACGTTGGAGAAGATTGTCTGGTGCACCGGAATGTCTACACTTAGATCCAAAGTAATTAGCTTGCATTTTTGAAGCCTCTGCATTCGTGTAGGCGTAATCCTCTTCACTGTGTGCTACACAACCATGTGAACCAGTACGAGTTAGGTAGTTGGTTCGATGACATGATCCCAAACCGGTTTGTCGAGTAGGTCCACGTGAACGCCATTCAAGACAGCCAAGCTTGATTTTTGTGAACATGATTTGAAGAAATTGAAGAAAACCGAGATAGAATTCAGGTGAAACGAGAAAAATTATTTAAAAGAATGAATACTGCACGAAGAATAAATACACTTTTCGATAACCCCTTCATCATCATCACCAGGCTCTACAGTTATATATCCATCCATTATACTGAATGAATGAACGAATGAATTAGTGTTATGATCAACAACATTCATGTTACTCTTTAAATAACATCGAATCAATAATAATAATACCAGTGGATTACAGTTGAAGAGCATCAACATTACAATAAACTGAATGTCAGTTGAATTAGGAAAGATAATATTACAAATTCATGAATGTATAGTCTCCAGTGAAGGCGCGTTAGGGAAGTAGTAGGGGCTAACTGGCTGGAATGGCTTCTTCTCCACACAGAGCACTGTTTGTTGTTTCAGGTGAATTTTAATATCCTCTGGTGTTTGGAGCATTCGGTGCTTCGATGATTTTGGCATCGAAGAAAAAAAAAATTTGCATAGAAAAAGTACTTGGACAGGACAATATACACATTTTCACGGCTTCGTTCCTCTCAAGTGCAAAAGAAATTCAGCGAAGACCCTTAGCCACAGAGTTAGTTAGAGCTATATGCTCGCAAGAAGTAATTGAAGATGAATTAAGCATTGCATATGACTTGGCGCGTCATAAAGACCATCTCAAACAAACTTCAGACCTTCATCAACAGTTGTCTTCGATCAATACTCAAGATCACATAGCCAGCCAGAAAAGATCAGCAACAGGGATCTCTGTCAATGAGCGAACCAACCAGGAACCGATTGTGAAACAGGAGGAAGTGGAGATGGATTGGCCATACGCTGATGAAACCATCAAGTGACATCACTGGAGAAGCCATTGCTCGAGTGGAACCCGAAAGGAATGCGGCGAGTCGGTCGTCAATGCAAGGGTGGGTGACTTGGAGGAGGTCATGTGAAGAGGAGATGAAAGCATGTGGGCAGACTTGGAGCCAGGTGGAAAAGTTGGCAGAAAACCGAAAGCAATGGAGACGCGCAGCTGAAGCCCTACGTTCCACTGGGAATTAACGGATATAATAGTAAATATGATACTTTGATCGAAAATAACTATCCCAAAAAATTCATCAAGAAACACATGACAAAGAAAGCGGAAAAAGACCACTCACTATCCGTAAACAAGAAGCCTCTTTATTTACGATTGCAATTCAAGGGCGATATACCAAGTGAGATAATTACGAGGAGATTAAGAAAATCAGTTCAAAGAACCTTCAGTGCTGGCGAACTACACATCTTATTCCCTACACCACCGATGGTGCTACCTCAACTGAAAGATGAAGTACCTAGACTAGCTAGCCACTTCTAATTGTATCTAACAATTCAACTGCAACTGTTCTGGTAGTGGAACGAGTTATATTGGCCGTTGTTCTAGGAACTTGATTTTTCGTGGTCGTTCGAGCGCATCTCCAAGTACGGCTAAGTAAAGGTGTAGTGAAAACCATTAACAAACAGTTCGATACTGGACCATCTGGTGCAAACCGACCGGTCGGCCGGACACAAAGCCAGCCAGTTAGCCAGTGTGGAAGAATCCTTCTCTATCATCATCTACCAGGTATCTATTAAATTGCCAAAATTATCATCGAAGCACCGAATGCTCCAAACACCAGAGGCTATTGCGATTCGCCTCAAACAATCAGTGCTCTGTGTTCAAAAGAAGCAAGTTCAGCTAGCTAGCCACTACTACTACCCTGGCTGGCTGGTTGGCCTTCAGTAGAGACTAGAAATTCATGAATTTATAATATTATCTTTCCTAATTCAACTGACATTCAGTGTGTATTGTTATGTTGATGCTATTGAACTGTAATCCACTGGTATTATTATTATTATTGATTCGATGTTATTTAAAGAGCAACATGAATGTTGTTGTTCATAACACTAATTCATTCATTCATTCACTATAATGGATGGATATATAACTGTAGAGCCTGATGATGATGATGAAGGGGTTATCGAAAAGTGTATTTATTCTTCGTGCAGTATTCATTCTTTTGAAAACAATTTTAATGGGAATTTCAATCAGTTAAATAATTTTTAATTTTCAACAAAATTAGGAGTACTGTATTCATATATATATATATATATATATATATTGACGAAGTCAGGTAATTTGAATCAATAAGTGACATCATTAATTTGATATGATCACAAGGATTTCATAATTACTGCTAAGGATCAGATGGACACCAGGATTTAGCAACAATAATTTATGGCAATGAACACAATCAATAAGCTACTACTACCCAACAAATTTCCCGAAGGAAATGCATATGGACTGAACACAATCTGATGAGAATGAAATCGAGGTATGATGTTGAAGCTGCATGTTCCACTCCCAGCACAAGAGAATGTTGATAATAATAATAATAGTAATAGTAATAGAAATTAGTGAGATAGTTAAAAACAGTAAATAATCAGAAGTTAATTTGTGGACGGTGACTAGCAGTGGGGAATCCAGTCCAGGATAACGCGAATTTTGGTGCTACTTGGGACTAGTCTGCCACCTGGCTGGATGTACCTGCATTTCCCAGTGAGTCAGTGATGATGTTCCCACCACCCGTGGATCGAACCCAGTGACCATAGGTTCAAACGCCAGTCAAACCGTTATCTACTAGACCACATGGGCCACGAGAGCCATCCCACTTCTTGTGCAACGGGTCATATTCATTATTGAATTGAATTTTTTCAGATCTTCCTGTCGATTGCTTGGACCGATGTGCTAGGTGTCAGGTTGACATGTCTGTCGGCTTCATGTGCAAATGCTTCTGTAATGCCTGAGATTGTAATTAGAATTTAATTGGTCGACGGTGACTAGCAGTGGAATCCAGGCTAAGGCTCATTTCGTCCTATTTGGAACTCATGTTCAGCTGGATGTGCCTGCATTCCCCAGTGAGTGATGATGTTCTCAAACAGGACGAAATGAGCCTTATCCTGGATTCTACTGCTAGTCACCATTCTAATTAAATGCTCAGTCATCGTTGAAGCACCTGCACAAGAAGCTAACAGACATGTCAACCTGAGATGGAGCACTTCGGTTCAATCAATCAATTGACGGGAAAAACTAAAATGCAATTAAGTAATTAATCAGACTGCCAAAAGACGACTGTACTGACTTATTAGCTAAATGTACAAAGTTTTCAAAACTATAAGTGAAATGCTGAAATATAGAATTCCTATGTACAAGGGGTTTAATCCACTAGTTATTGAAATAAACAATGCAATGTAAGCCTGTGTATTCTAATAAGAAAGTATATTACATCTAATTAACGACAATCAGTAGCTGGTATATATATATATATAGGAAATTAATAAAGAATTAAGTGGCGGGTGAGAAAATAGACTTGACTACTTAGGTCAAGTTAAAAGGAGGATATATTCAAGATTTCGGTGTCAAAATAAAGTTTACCAAGGGAGGTTTAATGTGATGACGAATCGCTCCCTTAACGCATAAAGGTGACTTAAACTTCCTAACTGCCAGCTAGGGCTAGCTTCCACAAACTTCAGTATACGCCCTCCCACAAACATGTTTTTATAGATAGGTCTACAAGATGTGATAACATTAATTTTATGCTTAGTCTCTTGTGTAATGTTTCACAATAGACGAGCCAGGTCTATGTCTGTTCTCACTACTAATGGGGTCTGAATATTCTAGCTGCTTCGGAGCCATTTAACAATATGCTCTGAAGCCCTAACTTGCAGAGATCCATGAGTCCTCCCTATATATGTTTGTTCACACGTACATTCAAATTGGTAAATACAGTGGGATGTGATATCATTTTTCTCATGTTCAAAGGGCTTAGATGGATGGATTCTCACATGGATTCACATTCTCAATTATTATGATATTAGCAGCATAAAAAGTCTTTTAAATCACAACGGCGTTCTATCTTCGTTTAGTTATTAAACTGCTATGTTGCCAAAAATATGGTAGCTTGATGTACACATCTTTCTTAGGGGCGAGTTGTATACAGTGGGTCTTGGTGTTCCACTGACCACTTTATCTCTCCTGATGAACTTGTCTGGATAACTGTTATCAACCAGAGCAGAGTTGTGTCAACTTTCTTTCTTCTTCATCATCAAGTTTGTCTGTCTTCAGTGCATATTCGTTGGATTCCACTGAAGGGTCACTTTGCTCACTAAAGCTTTTTTGTACCGAACAGGGCAGAAACTGTGGTAATTAAGATACTGTGCTGTTCTGTCCAGGTAGGTAGGTTTTCTATAAATAGATCATCGTTTTATTCACCCATCAAGCCATCAGTCGACTAATCAGTATGTCTAGGAAAGGTGAACAATTATCTTCCTCTTCTACAGACAGATGTAAGTGATATACTTGATATTCTGAACTTCATTCATTCGATTTAAAATTGTGGTGGCAGAACAAGGCGTTTATCACTCACTGATGATTACAATGTCATCTAAATACCTTCTATAAAGTGTATTTCTTTTCTCATTATCACTGTCTTGTGAAACACACGAAAGGAGTCGAACATGCAAGAGTGAAAGTGAACAACTAACTATGAACTTCTGTTCATAAATGAGCGCATGAACACAATCCACACTGGACAACAAACATCACACACACACACGCACGCACGCAAGCACCCACACACACGAACACACACACAGAGACAGAGAGAGAGAGTCTATAAAACCCTCCATTCAGATACAAAACTTATAGTTAAGCGTAGAGTAGAATACACACACACACAAAGTTTATCAATGAGAATAAACATGTTTTGATATGTAAAGTTTTAATAATAGAACATGACTAATATATAAACACGAAGTAAGACAGCATCGATTTACTCTCTGTTTCTATCCGTCCTTACATACATCCATGTATTATATAAAACAATAATGAACAATATAAACAGATGTAATATTGATTAGGGTTGTTTCTAAATCACGACATATATATATGTATAGGTATATATCGGC